GACACCAACACTCACACCCTAGACACAACACCACCCATAGACATAACACTCACACCCATAGACACAACACTCACACTCATAGACACAACACTCACACTCATAGACATAACACTCACACTCATAGACACAACACTCACACTCATAGACACAACACTCACACTCATAGACACAACACTCACACTCATAGACACAACACTCACACTCATAGACACACACACTCATAGACACAACATACACATCTCACACACAACACTCACATAGACACAACACTCACACTCATAGACACAACACTCACACTCATAGACACAACACTCACACTCACAACACACAACACTCACATTCATAGACACAACACTCACACTCATGACACCACTCAACACCCACACTCATAGACACAACACTCACACTCATAGACACAACACTCACACTCATAGACACAACACTCACACTCATAGACACAACACTCACACTCATAGACACAACACTCACACTCATTAAGACACAACCACTCACACTCATAGACACAACACTGACACTCATAGACACAACACTCACACTCATAACACACACCCCACGACACTCGTAGACACAAACACTCACACTCATAGACACAACACTCACACTCATAGACACACCACTCACACTCATAGACACAACACTCACACTCATAGACACAACACTCACACCCATAGACACAACACTCACACTCATAGACACACCACTCACACTCGTCACCACTCACACAGACACACTCACACTCATAGACACAACACTCACACTCATAGACATAACACTCACACTCATAGACACAACACTCACACTCATAGACACACCACTCACACTCATAGACATAACACTCACACTCATAGACATAACACTCACACTCATAGACACAACACTCGCACCCATAGACATAACACTCACACTCATAGACACAACACTCACACTCATAGACATAACACTCATACTCATAGACATAACACTCACACTCATAGACACAACACTCACACTCATAGACACAACACTCACACTCATAGACATAACACTCACACTCATAGACATAACACTCACACTCATAGACACAACACTCGCACCCATAGACATAACACTCACACCCATAGACACAACACTCACACTCATAGACACAACACTCACACCCATAGACACAACACTCAACACTCACACTCATAGACACAACACTCACACTCATAGACACAACACTCACACTCATTGACATAACACTCACACCCATAGACACAACACTCACACCCATAGACACAACACTCACACTCATAGACACAACACTCGCACCCATAGACATAACACTCACACTCATAGACACAACACTCACACTCATAGACACAACACTGACACTCGTAGACACGCCACATACTCGCAGGTAAACTGTTTATTGGAGCAATGGTGCTAGAGACATATTTTACAGGTAAGCAAAGAATTTATGGAATATACGACCAACAGCACATGGGCTGCATTTACTTTCCCTGTCGTTTTCTGGCCAAGTCGACATGGGAACATGGTGACACATAGCAAGGTCAGGTGGTACCCACCAGTGTGGAAAATTTACTGTCTCCTCCCCCCCCCCCCATCCCTCCCCCCCGTTTCCCCCTCACCCCACCCACAGACATACACAGCCACACACATTTTATTAATGTTAAGAGCACCAATTTTTTTCAATTTTTTCACTCCCTCAGTGGTGACACTCGGGGAGGGGCGTCCCGCCCCTCTCCCTTTTTCTACGTCACTACCTGGGATTCCACCTCGTGTCCTTTAAAGAGGAGAAACAGAGGCAGTGAGAGAGAGAGAGAGTGGGAGAGAGAGAGAGAAAGAGAGACAGATTGCTCAAATAAACCTGGTTCCGTTTGAAGTTAGAAAAGAGAGGTAAATCTGTAAACATTCATGGTGTGAAATGATCGCAGGTCTTACCTGCCCCTTGCTGACGGAAACCCAGTGAAGTTCTATCACATATTATTTCCTGTTCACTATGAGTAATATCTAAGCCATAGTTTTTTACAGCTAGCGACACCACCCCATTGGATCGGGGGGGGGGGGGGGGGGGATACTAAGGAGTGGTATAAAAATAAGCAAAACAACAACAAAACATGCGTCGATCGTCACTCGTAGAAAGGAGTAGAAAACAAAAAAAGGCCCCACTGGACAACATCACAATCGAAAGCTGTAGTTATCATGCTGGGATTCAAACCTGGCACCTCCCAATAACAACAATGCCCCGCTGCTGCAAGTTAACTCAAACACATGACCAGCTAGGCACCCCTAATAAAGGTGTCTACGTCAGCTATGTCAATCATACAGCTTGAATCCACAGCAATGGTAGTGGATATCACACAGGACATCACACAGGACATCACACAGGACATCACATAGGACATCACATAGGACATCACACAGGACATCACATAGGACATCACACAGGAAATCACACAGGACATCACACAGGACATCACACAGGACATCACCTAGGACATCACACAGGACATCACCTAGGACATCCCACAGGAAATCACACAGGACATCACACAGGACATCACACAGGACATCACCTAGGACATCACACAGGACATCACACAGGACATCACACAGGACATCCCACAGGAAATCACACAGGACATCACACAGGACATCACACAGGACATCACCTAGGACATCACACAGGACATCACACAGGACATCACACAGGACATCACACAAGCCATAAATACCCGGTGATATACAAAGTGCCACCATGGGGATGAGGATCCTCCATAGAGAGGTCCAGGAAACCCTGTTCAACCTTTAGGCCATATTTCAGGCCCAGTTATATGTAGGGCCCCGGCAAAAGCCAGGGTGAGGCTTCAAAATAACTAAAAATGTCAACCCACATGGGGACGACAGTAAACGTAACACAGCTGTGAAAAACGAGACAGAATTCATGTCACACCCCTGAAACAGCATCACAGGTTAAAAAAAAAAGTCATATTAGCAAAGCATAGGTCGAATAACAAAGATGACAACAGTTATAACTACATCTGACAATACTGCTCTGTCTAGATACAACAAACATTTAAAGAACATATTTCCTTAGTCGGTTTCATTGTGCTGTACCAAATTCACAAAAATTAACAGATGGGGACCACTTGAGGCTGTTGAAACAGTAAATGCAATAAAACAAATAGACATGTTTTGTTTGGCTCTCATAGAAAGATAGAAAGACACACTAACAAGGTGAAAAGTGAAAGATACTGTTACCATGCCGGGAACTGAATCTGTCACTTCCAAATAATGAGATCATCCTGCTACAAGAACAAGTGTACTAAGACACATGACCAACTAGGCAGCCTTAAACAATGTGGTATCTATAGCCATGACTATTGCACAGCTTGAGCCCATATTTATGGTATATGGATAATGACTAGAGACGAATTATGTTTACTTCTATGTACTACACAGGATGGTAGAACATTGTGGGTACAAGTATCCTTTTCTGAGTGAAAACCCAAGGACTTTCCATGATACACTAAGGACTTTCCATGATACACTAAGGACTTTCCATGATACACTAAGGACTTTCCATGATACACTAAGGATTTTCCATGATACACTAAGGACTTACTTTCCATGATACACTTCCGATACACTGTGTAACTAACTGTGTTAAACGGTTGAACAAGATTTCTGAGGTTTGTTTCTGTTGATTTCATCCGAACAATAGTTTTCTGCGTCATCAGGTGTTGAATCTTCTAATGGAAATTATCCTGTTGAATGTAATTCCTATATGTGTAAAAAGTGTGTGTGTGTGTGTGTGTGTGTGTGTGTGTGTGTGTGTGTGTGCATGCGTGTGAGTGTGTGTGTATTGGGGGGGGGGGGGGGTAAGAATAATACAGGGAAGCAGTAGTTGCCTCATGTGCAAATTGGGGAGTGGGGGTTGAGAGGGTGGGTGGAAAAAAGGGGGGGGGGGGAATTAACATAAATCAGAGAGCTGTAGCATCGGGGGGGGGGGGGGGGGGGGGGGGAGAAGATGGGAATATTTTGAAGATTTTGCGTATTTGGTTTATCTTTTGTGTTACAGAGTTAAAGCCTGTTGTGATTACTTTATTTGCCATATCTATTACTGCATCTTTCGGTATGCACTACTGCAGAAGGTTGATTTCCAGGAACCAACAAGCCTTGGAATCTATCGCCTATGCAATTCCTTTTTTCTTAGCGGTGGGGGGAGGGAGGGGGGTGGGGTCCAATTGTACTGGCCAAAGTTGTGTTTTACATTATACCTGCTTTTTGTTTACAAAACAAGAGTAATGTTAACCTGGTCATGTGCTACATTGAAGCATCTATGGATCAAATGAAGATTAGCCAGATAAGGGAAGTGATGCAGTGATTTATGATACATAATGCCTGATATAGAATGCTTGATATGGAATATCTGATACAGATACCTGATACCGAATGTCTGGTACGGAATGCCTGATACAGAATACATGATACAGAATACCTGATACAGAATGCCTGATACAGAATACCTGATACAGAATACCTGGTATAGAATACCTGATACAGAATACCTGATACAGAATGCCCAATACAGAATACCTGGTACAGAATACCTGATACAGAATACCTGATACAGAATCATTGATACAGAATACCTGATACAGAATACCTGGTACAGAATACCTGATACAGAATACCTGATACAGAATACCTGATACAGAATACCTGGTACAGAATACCTGATACAGAATACCTGATACAGAATACCTGGTACAGAATACCTGATACAGAATACCTGATACAGAATACCTGGTACAGAATACCTGATACAGAATACCTGATACAGAATACCTGGTACAGAATACCTGATACAGAATCATTGATACAGAATACCTCATGTATAGACAAAAATACAAGACTAGCAGTATATACCCAATAAGCCTCCAAGCATAGAAAAGGGGCCTCTACTCTATTTAAACACAAAAACAAATACTCACCACAAACTTCTTTGTCTTCTCCCATGTTTGGAAGTCAGAAATAGCTGCTTTTGTTGTCTGCTTCACTTCCAAACTGTCCTCACTTGAATGGCTCATGATGATGCTGGGAATTATGATACAAAGATAAGAAGGCAGATTGCAATTAACAATCATTACAGACTATATGTACTGTACAGCTGTTTTACTCAGTGCTACTGCATGGTATTAAGTGTTCAGTCCCTACTGTGTGGGCTATCTTGATAAGTAGAATTACTGATAAATGGAACAATTTCCTTAATTTCCTGTGACTTCTGCTTATCCAAACTCCACTGTTACCCTTTTTAGGCCAGTGTAGTATAGGGGTTGTGAAGGAGGGGGGTGAGGGGGTTAAAGGTACAGATTTGAGTTAGTATGCCTATTGCATTTGCCACAAACTGTGCATGTTGAGACAGAATAAAACCTCCATTACCTTAACTGGGTATTCAAAACTGAGTTTCCAATACGAGAACCCAGCAGTAAACTGATTTAGGATCAACACCATTGCATATCATAAAAGGAAAAAAGAAGAAAAAAAAAGAAGAAAAAAAAGAAGAAAAAAAAGAAGAAAAAAAAAAAGAAGAAAAAAAAAAAAAGAAAAAAAAGAAGAAAAAAAAAGAAGGGAAAAAAAAGAAAAAAAAGAAGAAGAACATTTGTTTTGTCATTGTTGCCTCACTTTGGACTCGGCTATAAACTTCCAGTAACTGAAAGTCTTACTACTGAATTAAAAACTGACATTATGACATCCCATAATTGCTCCATGCCTATTGTTTGTTAACAAACAAAACTAAAGACACTGGTCAGGTGAACTGAATATATAGTGAAGAAATTCATGTATACTTCAGCAGCACAAGAAAACATCACTGAATGTGTGTTAGAAGTGAATGAATGTTAGGAGTGAATTATTGTTAGAAGTGAATGAATGTTAGAAGTGAATGAATGTTAGAAGTGAATGAATATTAGAAGTGAATGAATGTTAGAAGTGAATGAATGTTAGAAGTGAATGAATGTTAGAAGTGAATGAATGTTACAAGTGAATGAATGTTAGAAGTGAATGAATGTTACAAGTGAATGAATGTTACAAGTGAATGAATGTTACAAGTGAATGAATGTTAGAAGTGAATAAATGTTACAAGTGAATGAAGAGGTGAATGAATATTAGAAGTGAATGAATGTTAGAAGTGAATGAATGTTACAAGTGAATGAATGTTACAAGTGAATGAATGTTACAAGTGAATGAATGTTAGAAGTGAATGAATGTTACAAGTGAATGAATGTTACAAGTGAATGAATGTTAGAAGTGAATGAATGTTACAAGTGAATGAATGTTACAAGTGAATGAATGTTAGAAGTGAATTAATGTTAGAAGTAAATTAATGTTAGAAGTGAATGAATGTTAGAAGTGAATGAATGTTACAAGTGAATGAATGTTACAAGTGAATGAATGTTAGAAGTGAATTAATGTTAGAAGTAAATTAATGTTAGAAGTGAATGAATGTTACAAGTGAATGAATGTTAGAAGTGAATGAATGTTACAAGTGAATGAATGTTACAAGTGAATGAATGTTACAAGTGAATGAATGTTACAAGTGAATGAATGTTACAAGTGAATGAATGTTACAAGTACAAGTGAATGAATGTTAGAAGTGAATGAATGTTAGAAGTGAATTAATGTTAGAAGTGAATGAATGTTAGAAGTGAATGAATGTTAGAAGTGAATGAATGTTAGAAGTGAATGAATGTTAGAAGTGAATAAATGTTAGGAGTGAATGAATGTTAGAAGTGAATTAATGTTAGAAGTGAATTAATGTTAGAAGTGAATTAATTTTAGAAGAGAGTGAATGTTAAAAGTGAATTATTGTTAGAAGTGAATGAATGTTAGAAGTGAATGAATGTTAGAAGTGAATGAATGTTACAAGTGAATGAATGTTAGAAGTAAATGAATGTTAGAAGTGAATGAATGTTAGAAGTGAATGAATGTTAAAAGTGAATGAAAGTTAAAAGTGAATTAATGTTAGCAAATAAACAAATGTGAAAAACGTAAATAAATACTGAACGTAAATGACTGTTTAAAAGTTATTAAGGTTAAAGTAATGTTGAATGTTAAAAATTAAATAATATTAGAAGGAATGAATGTAACAACTGAATTAATGTTAAAAGGTAAAATGATGGTAAAGGAGAATAATTGTTTAAAGTGAATCAACATTATAAATGAATGAATTTAGAAATAATAGGTTAGAAAGATTAAATGAATATTAAAAGTAAATGCATGCTGACAACAAATGAATGTTAAATGTTAACTAAGAATTTAACAAAATAATAAAAAGTACAAAAATTAAAATTTTTGCTGAAATCACAGTCAATTTTCAGACAATAGAAGACATGACATTCTCTTAAGAAAAAAATATTCTGATTCTCAAAAAGCTATAACTGAGGTAACATAACCTTGTCTGGCCACATATGGAGGACTAGGCATGGCAAAATATATAGCTTCAAAGTTATTTTTGCTTCTGACAGCACTTCGCATTTTTCCACATATGAAAGGCACTCTAGGTTTTTACTGCCTAAGCTACTGAGTTAAGTGCTTGGTGCAGCACTGTGAGCTGTTGTCTTTTTCATGTTGGATGCCTTTCATTTGTGCAGCAGTTGAGTCATGGTATTCAATATGCCTGTTAGCCAGTTTATGTATGTTCTGGCCAGTAATACTTGTTTGTATGTGTGAACAGCCATAATGGCTAGACGCTCAACCGTCAACTAGAATGTCTAGGGTTCAAATCTGCATCAAAGCAGATTTTTTTCAAAATTAAACTTCGCTTCTATATCAACCCAGCATAAAATGGGTACCAGGAGGTGCTGGATGTAGGTATCAGCTAATCAAGCAGCGTAGAGCCTCTCAATCTGCAGGGGCTGCAAAAGTGTCTACCTTCCTCACATTTGCAATTTTATGTTATTATATTCTCTACTTTTACTAATATTTTTTTGCATATTTTATCTCAGGCTTTTCTTTATTTATTTATTTTTTTTTCTAATTTTGTTTATAAGTAAGTAATACTATACTTAAAATAGTTAGACAATCTTGATTTTGCTGATGATATTGTTCAGTTAAGTAAAAATAAGCAATGACAGACACAATAAAACAAATGATTTAGCGAGTCTAGCATGAAGGGTTTGATTACAAATAAGTTATGAAACGACAAATACTTGTATATTTAAGACAACAACAACAGATCCAGCAAAAGTAACACTAGAGAAAAAAGTAATCAAAGTAAGTGATCTTCTTCTTCTTCTTTGCATTCGGTTTCATATGCTCAGATCAGACCACCAGGTGGGTTGCCTCTATGAACTCGCATGTCAGCAGCAGGTCCTTCATGGTTCCCCATAGTTTGCTCTGCACACTTTGCTCTTGAGGCCAGGTGTCTTTTTGAAGTTGTAGGTAGAGGGGGCAGGTCTGCAGAATGTGCTCAGGTGTTTGTGGTCCTGTTTGACAGGCACACTGTGGCGACTCTACAGTCTTTATTTGATGCATGTGGTAGTTGAGTCTGCAGTGTCCTGTTCGTAGATGGAAAATTGTTGTATGTTGCTTTCTGTTGAGTCTGCTGATGGGGACTTGTGGATGTTTACTGTTTGTTTGTTCTCTCCACAATTCCTTGTTTTTTCCCTTTATAAGTGTTTTGATTTCTGGTAATGACAAAAAAATGGGCATGTTGTTTCTCCTTGTTCCATTTTTTGTAAGTCGTCTGCTTATTTATTTCCTGGTACGCTGCAGTGAGCCGGGATACACCAGAGAACGATCTGATTGTTTTCTGCGAATCTGTTTAGCTGGCAGATTAGTTCTCTCTCTCCATGTTGTCTCATGGATCCCTCTGAGTCGCCTGGAGGTCTGAGATGCAGTCACAAAGGAAAACAATTTTTGCTGTTTTTAGTTAAAGTAACAGATCAATTTACTTGTTTAGTTAAAGTAACAGATCAATTTACTTGTTTAGTTAAAGTAACAGATCAATTTACTTGTTTAGTTAAAGTAACAGATCAATTTACTTGTTTAGTTAAAGTAATTTTGGTAGTGAAGAAAATACAAAGAAAGAAATTATCACATGCACTAGCAAGAAATTAGCAGCTTTGAATAGCTTGAACAAAATATGGAACTCTAAATAGTAAAGTTTTAAAACCAAGTTGTGCATTTTCAGTTCTAATGTTATTTTAGTTTTACTTATGCAAGTGAACATTGGAGAACCACTAAAGACATGGAAAGAAAGTGAAGTGCATTTGAAAACAAATGTCTGAGGGAAAAGATAAAAATAAAACAGGAAGAGTTCAAAAGGAGTGAAGAAATAATATAAATACCTGGGCAACCAGTAGTAACAACAGTTATAAGACAGAGAACATGGCGCTAAATTGGACACATCCTGAGAAGAAACCAGCAGAGAATCACCAAATAGGCATTAAAATGGGAAATAATGGAATTAAGGAGGTAAGGACGCCCAAAAGAAACCCTAAGACAAACATTGAAGAGAGAGGCCAACGATGCTGGACTGGATTCCATCCATGACATTGAACTGATCGCTCAGGACAGAACAGAATGGAGGGAAAGACTGTGAGCCCTATGTGACACATAATGGCACAATAGAATAATGAATTAACACTAAAAATAATATGAAATTTATCAACAAATAGTTTTAACTCTTTCAGTAACAGAAGATTTGGCAGCAAATCCCCAAATGGGGTATAAATTATCAATGCTAGGCAGAGACTAAACACAGCAGAGTGGCCACTTGGGTAGCCAGATTTTCAGAGTATGGTTTGACCAAATGTAAAAGGCAAAACAAAAAAAACCACAAACATTCTTCCTTGGCAATGACTCATAAAGTCCTTTTACAAAATTATAGGCAGCGGGAGGTCAGCATCCCCATCCCCAATCATTTTGGCAGGAGCTCAAGGGATCTAAGCTCCCCCCCCCCCCCACCCCCCTCGTTTCAGTGCCTATGCAACCCAGCATCCTGTCCTGGGGTGTTTTTATATCAAATCTGACAAAACCACCAACTTAATGACAAGCAAGGAAACTTATTTACCACATCTTATTATGT